AAAGGCGTCGCGGGCTAGAGATTTCGCCGGTTCGAGGTGAGTAATGATTGTAAATGATATCCTGAGGGTTTGAAACCCCGGATTTGCACCCATAGTGCTATATTGAGGCGACTTGCACGCCAGACAGAGAGCGTGGGGTAGAGCACCGTTGGGGATTGTGACTTGGTCCGTCCCGGTTGTTGATTTTACCGCGTATTTCGCTATGACTTGTTGTTTTTCACTAGGACTTGGGCTTATTGCCATATTTGGGGCTTATTGCCGACTGTTTGAACACCCTATGAGCTATCATCACTGTTTTCCTCACTATTTGAAATATTATTCGAACTCAGTCCATTGTTATTACACTGTTTCATGAACGCAGCTATATTTTCACTCAACCTCGAGTTTTAACTGATATTTGAACTACTGTTTGAGCTGAGCATTATTGTTTCTTTACTGATGCCCGAGGGGCTTATGATTATTTTTGGGTTGATTGAGGCCGAGGGCCATATGTGAGGATATGCTGAGTGATGTGAGGAGGCTTTCAGGCCTCGAGTGTATTGTGAGGAGGCTTTCAGGCCTCATACTGATATGTACAGGCTTTCAGGCCTTATGTTGATATAGCGCTTGGGCTGTAGGAGCCCCTCCGGAGTCTGCACACCCACAGTGAGCGCGGGTACCCATTTAGAATTGGACAGTGGTAACAATGACACTGGCATTCGTGTTTTGGTCAGGTAACAATGGCTGACCAGTCAGGTAACAATGGCTGACCAGTGGTAACAATGGCACTGAAACACGCGTTGGGTCAGGTAACAATGGCTGACCGGTCAGGTAACAATGACTGACTAGTAACGAAATTTGTGCCCGAGGGGCGAACTTTTATGTGTTCATCTTGCATACCTATTTGTATTATTACCTGCTATGCTGTGATATTTGTGCCCGAGGGGCGGATTTTCTGTGTTAATCAGCACTACCTTTTTGGAACAGTTTCGTAATTATTGAAAGGACCATTTTCGAAAGAGATTTGAACTGAGCCGAAACATTTCTAAAGAGTTCCTTGATTTCACTATTTTCTCAGAAATTGTACCCGGCTTCTGTACAGCCCGTTTGTTGCTTTACGTGATTTCTTGTTGCTCAGTTATTATTTACTTCTATTACTCACTGAGTTGGAAGTACTCACTTTACTCCCTGCACCTCGCGTGCAGTTGCAGGTATTGTTCACCCGGTAGTGGGTTTTGAGCTCGTTGAAGGTATTGCTATCGTAGCTGAGCTGAGTGACCGCCAGCGTTCGCGGCACCGGATTACTCCCTTTGGTTCTAAATTTTATTCCGCATATTGTTGGCCCTGTAGTTGTATTTAGACTTCTCTAGATGCTCGTGACTTGTGACACCCCGATCGGATTGTGTAGGGTTGTAAATACTGGTTATTATTGTCGTTAAGATGTATTTATCTATTCATTTATGTTTAATAATTGTTAAAGAGACAATTTGGGGTAGTTGGCTGGCCTTGTCTTCACGAGAGGCGCCATCACGACCGGGTTGGAAATTGGGTCGTGACATATTTCCTTCATCGTATTGGTTTTTGGGACACAATGGAGAATCCTATGGGAATCCCCGCTAATGATCCTTTTGAGATTCATGTCATTGATGGGTTGCCAACGCAAGATAACACGTAAATTATTATTGAATATTTCTGATTCTTATTCATTTTTTGTACATGAATTCCTATTTGGATATTATCCTAACTTTTATTCAATGTTTACGTGCTACCTTGTATGTAGTGATTGTGGTGTTTATGTTGCTGCATTTGCTGAGTACATCATTCAAGGCAGCAGTATTCCTAAAGCTATTGATATTGATGGGATACGAAACCGATATGGTATATTGCTATGGGATTACGCAGTGAAGAAACAAAGAGGACATGCAGCTAGTGATGATGAGTCTACTGGTAGATTAAAGGATCAGATAAAAAAGGATAACAAGAAAAAGAGCAAGTCGCATTCCGTTGTTGATGATAAGTCTTTGAAGGATAACAAGAAAAAGGGCAAGACGGATGCCGTTTATGATGACAAGACTTTGAAGGATATCAAGAAAAATAGCAAGTTGCATGATGTTGGTGATGACGAGACTTTGAAGGATATCAAGAAAACGGGCAAGTTGAAGGGCAAGATGAAGTAGTTTGGGATAGTTTAAAAGAAAATTCACATGTAGTTTTAAGATGGAAGTAGTTTGGTTCTGATATTGTCTATGATTGGATACAGTTGCATACTTATATCATGTTTTATGCTTTTTGTTTGGGATGTCTTTGAACAATATGTTTGAAATGCTAATGTTGAATATTACTTTTAATAGCGACTTGTTGTGTAGTTTTCAGTTAATAGTGAAATTATGAAAATTTTAGATTTTGTGTAGTTTTGACTTTTCTACAGTTTTAGTTTTGTAATTTATACAGTTTAATCTATTTCGACAGCTTTTGCATTTTCGACAGATTTTGCAAATTTAGCTGGTGTTGCTAAGTTGCTACAGGAAGTTTTGTGAATGATGTTTTGGGGGCAGCTAACTGTATATAAACTGTATAGCGACAGTCTATTTTGTATAGTGATATCTATCTGTATATTTTTTGGATAGTCACAGTCTATTGTATGTAAATTGTATAAATATACAATTTCTATTTTGCATATTTAATTGGTAATCCCTCTTTTTGTATAGTTTTTGTATGGTGACATCTATTTTGTATATTTTTTGTATAGCTATAGTTTATTTTGTATTTTTTTTGTATAGGAACAAAATATTACATATAAATTGTATAGTGACAGTCTATTTTGTATATTTTTGTATAGTAACAGTCTTTTTTGTACATTGTCATCTATTTTGTATATTTTTTTGTATAGTGACATCCATAATAGTATATGAAATAAAACTTCCACCAATACTTTCATTATGACAAAAAGTAGCATCTTAATTCATACATCATAGAGAATCTGATTGCAAATCTCATTATTTTTCCAATTGTAATATTCAGAAGAAAAACTGTTAGAAAATACTAAATCACTGTAGCAGCATCTACTAGTTGTCTTGAGGATTCCTGCATGTTCTTCTGTTATGTCCTTGTTTTCCACACAGTCCACATGTAACAGTTTCAGTATACAGATATTCATAAAGTCCCTTGCGTCGCGACTTCGTCGGTCTTCCTGGTTTGCCCTTCACTATCGGTGGTAGGACCACATTATCTAACACCTCTGTTGGAAGGTCCCATGAAGTTTCATCTGGAAGTGGATTAACTGGCACTTCATATTTCTTCTTGAAGTATTCCTTGGTGTAATAGGCAGAACAATATTTGGGTGCTTCCATGTGTGTGTAGTCCAATACTGCCATAGCATGTGGACAAGGAATCTCATCCACTTGAAATCGTTTGCACGAGCATTCTCTTTTTTGCATGCAGACTATGTTCCGCCTTTGTTCAGCATCCATTACTACATATACATAATCGGTTGAAGGCCACTGTCCTTTCCTCTAAAATTTTCTGCTCATTCCCTTCCTTGTTTGATAATTTGTATTCATTACTTGATCCTATTTTTCTGCATTTAGACATTCTTGCCAATAACTAGGAAGTCGCCTATTCAAAATTTCAGCATGCTTAGTAACCGTTATACATACCCACTTGTAGTCTTTAAGTGAAATTGACCTGTATGCTTATTTGCTTTAAAGTCACAATTGTAGCATGGCCGGGAACCACGCTAGTGGATCTTGAGGGGTGCCTAACACCTTCCCCTCGAGATAATTTTTAGCCCTTACCCAAACTCTGGTTATTCAGCTCAAACCCTTCTTAGTGTCCCAATGGACTTAATCATTAGGTGGCGACTCTTCAAACTCCAAAACCCAATTCCCAAAAGGGAAGAGAGTTGTCCTCCAAAATATCGTAAACCCGATTTTGCCTTTTAAAGAAAAAGGGGGCTTCGACAGTCTCTACCTACAATGAGCCTTCTCTCCATGAGCCATTATACTATCAACAGGCTGTATCCAACCCAACTTGGCAGGAGTCCATGATTAAAGAGTTTCAGGCTTTGGAAGCCAATCATACATGGGATTTGATTCTCTTTCCTCCTTGCAAGAAGTCCATCCCTTGCAAATGGGTGTACAAAATCAAACAAAAGTCTGATGGTAGTATTGAGAGGTACAAAGCCAGACTAGTGATTAGAGGTGACACCAGAAGTTTGGGATTGATTACACTGAAACCTTCTCCCCTATTGTCAAGTTCACCACCATTAAATGTCTCATTGCTCTTGCTACTATGAAATTCTGGCTTATTTATCATCTTGATGCAAACAATGCTTTTCTCCATGGAGATTTGTCCGAGGAGGTCTAATGAAGGTTCCCCCTGGGCTCACATTTTCTTCTGATTCTTCTACTTCTGGTTTTCCTATGGTATGCAAGCTTAAAAAGTCTTTATATGGCCTTAAACAGGCCTCTAGGCAATTGTTTGCCAAATTATCTGCTGCACTTCTGTAAAGAGGTTACCCATCCAGTCTAAATGATCATTCCCTCTTTACCAAGTCCACATCTACTTCTACTGTTATCATAGCTGTGTGTGTGAATGATATTTTTTTGGCTGGTGATGATGCTTCCGAAATGGATTCTCTCAAATCCTTCCTGGATCTCCAATTCAAAATCAAAGACTTGGGTAATGTTCACTATTTTCTAGGCCTGCAAATCTCTAGATTGCCTCAGGGGTTTCTTGTGAATCAACATAAATTTACCTAGGATTTGTTGGCCGAGTTTCACTGTTCTTCTGCCTCTCCAGTTGTGGCACCTTTGGAGTTGCATCTCAAACTCACTCCTGATTCTGGTGAACTGTTGTCTGATCCTACTCACTATAGAAGATTGATTGGAAAACAGAATTTCTTGCAACACACTCGACCTGATATATCATTTTTTGTACAGCATCTCGGTCAATTTTTAAATGCTCATAGAACTGGTCATTTACATGATGTTTTACATGTCTTGAGGTACTTGGTTAAGGACCCTGATAAGGGCATATTGCTGAAAAATAATCTGGACCTTTCCTTGCTTGTTTACTCTGATTCTGACTGGGCGGCCTACCCTTCTTCAAGGAGGTCTGTCACTGGGTTCTTCATTACTTTGGGTGGTAGTCCTATTTCATGGAAGTCCAAGAAGCAACCCACTATTTCCTTATCTTCTGCTAAGCTTTGAGGAAAACTGTGGTTGAGATTATGTAACGACCCGACCGGTCGTTTTGCCTTTTAGAACCCCGTTCCCCTAAACAAAGCCTCCCGTACTTGCTTTAACTAATTTACGACTTGCGGGGGCGATTGGTTCGGGAATTGGAAGAGTTTTCAGTAAAAATATGTCCATTTGCTTCTTTAAGATTTTCTTAAAAGACCAAGTTTGACTTCGGTCAACTTTTTGGGAAAATGGACCCAGATTCGTGATTTGACAATTTCGGAGGGTCCGTGGGAAAATATGGGACCTGGGTGTATGACCGGAACCGAATTCCGAGGTCCCTAGCCCGAGTAATGAATTTTTATTTAAAATTGTTTAATTGAAGTTTTAAAGAATTAAAGAAACTAAGTAATCATTGATTCCCTAGGTATCCGGCTCGAATTTTAGTTCCGAAGCTTGTTACAGGTCCGAAATGTTGTTTAATACTTGCCCATAAAATTTGGTGCCAATCCGAGTAGTTTAAGGGCGTTTTGAACTGTTAGAGGAGAATTAAGAACTTGAAGTTCAATAATTTGATTCATTTAGTTTTAGGGGGTGATTCCGCGTTGTTTGGAGTGTTCCGAGGGTTCGAGTAGGTCCGCCTCGTGATTTCAGACTTGCCGGTATGTTCGGGCGGGGCTCGGGAGCCCCGAGCGTCAAACGAGTGAGGTTCGAGCGAAGTAGGAAATTTAAGAAAGCAACTGAAAGTTGCTGCTTCTGTCATAACCGCATCTACGGTTCTTGGACCGCAGATGCGGTCAATCCATCGCAGAAGCGGAAAGGGGCCAGGCCAAGGGAAACCGCAGAAGCGGCCCAGAGATCGCAGAAGCGGTTCCGCTTAAACGACCCCTAGACCGCAGAAGCGGTCCAGCCACCTTAGGCCCAAGCCGCAGAAGCGGTTCCGCATATGCGGGCCTCAGACCGGAGAAGCGGTCCAGCCCCTTTTGCCCAGTTTTACAGATGCGGCTCCCTTTTCGCAGGTGCGGGACCGCAGATGCGGTCCCCTAACTGCAGAAGCGGAAATCCCTGGACAGTAGGCTTCATTTAATTCGAACTCAAACACCATTTTATCATTTTACACTCAACCTTGGGGTGATTTGGGGGCTCTGCAGAGAAGATTTCAACTTAGCATTTCAACGTAAGTTATTTCCACTTATTTTTAGTTTGAATACATGTATATTAGGTAGATTAAACACTAAAAATTAGATAAAATCAAAGGGTTAGAGCTAGACCTAGGGTTTTAATAAAACTAAGATTTAAGCATGAAATTTGTTATGAAATGGACTAGAAATCATATATTATTGATCCTTAGGTTGTAGAGAACAATTTCCTTCGAAAAATCTCGGAATCCGGGCACGTGGGCCCGAGGTCGGAATTTAGGAAACTTGTGGAAAGGGTTGGGAAATTACTTAAATGGTTAGAATTCGGCCTTATAAGCCTTTATTGACTAGTTCTTACTTATTTTAACTAGTTTGCGATCGTTCGGCTCCGAATTAAGGGCTTGGACTTGTTCTTGATGATAGAAGTGCGCTTCGGAGCGAGGTGAGTCTCCTTTCTAACCTTGTAAGAGGGAATTGTCCCCATAGGTATAACAATTGAATTATTTGCCATTGTATTCAGGGGCTACGTACGTACTAGGTGACGAGAGTCCGTGCGTAGCAACTATTATGCTAAGTCCGGGTAGCATAGGACCCATAAGCATGCTTTACGTGATGTTATAGTACAGTTTGATTATCTTGGATTTATATGAACTCTTGTGATTAAGAAGAATGAGATTGAAAAATGACCTTTTAACCCGTCTGGTTCTTTTAAAGAAAATAATTGGCATCTCTATGTACGGCCACTCCCATATGCGCATTGATTGTTGTTGTTGCTTGTCAATGAGCTTATTTCTGTTCGACCGCGTCGCACGGGTGATTCGCGAGCGGGGTAATAGATGCATATATGGTTCGAGCCGTTCGTCCCTCGGCAGTGCATAATTTACTATTTTTATGTCGGATCGGGCCGTACGTTCCTCGGTGATTATATGCGCATGACTTATGTGACACTCTATTATGGGTTAGACTTCATATTTGCTTACATATATATACGGACACTCATGATGACAATCTAAAGGGAGAATTGTTGTTTTATACCTGCTAATTCCTATGAACTGAGTTATTTCTGCTTGTTATAAATTCTCCTCATTTTACACGACCTCAGTAAGTATCGAGTCGACCTCTCGTCTCTACTTCTTCGAGATTAGACGGGATACTTACTGGGTACATGTTGTTTATGTACTCATACTACACTTCTGTACTTAAATGTACAAGATTTGAGGCAGGTGGATCTAGTTATCATTCTGGTGCGCATCCGTGAGCGGACTTTGGACTTCTACGGTGAGCTGCTTTCCCTCCATGTCGACCCGAAGCCGAAGAAGTCTTTCCTTTGTATTTTCATTTTCTGTCTATTCGGATTCAGACAGTAGGATAGTATGATATTCTTTTGGATGTATATTTTACTAGTTGCCCGTAGCTTGTGACACCAGGTTCTGGCACACACTTTAGTAGACGATTATTTTGGGGTTGTGCAATTATATTATTTACAGCATTTCGCTCTTCTGGTTTAAATTCCAAGTGAAGTGTTTATTCCACTTATTTCTAATTAGAAGCAACATAAGAAATTTTAGT